GCCGCGGTCGCTGTCCCTCGTCAGCCGCGGTCGCTGTCCCTCGCCAGCAGACCGGCGCGGCCCTCGGTCGTCACGTGGCGTTCCCCGTGTGTCTCCACACCGTCTTCCCTCTGCCTGTGTCTGTCCAAATGCCCCTGTTGTAGGGACCCCGGCCATCTCAGACGGGGGCCCAGTCTGATGACCTTGTCGTGACTTGATCACCTCTGTAAAGACTGTTTCCCATGACGGTCACATTCCGAGGGCCTGGCGGTTAGGACTTCAACCTATCTTTTTCGGAGGGACATAATTTAACCCTCTAGAGTGGACAGCCCACGTTTTCTTCCCAAAGGATCTAAGTTCTTGGTGACCCGTCTTTACTGGGTTGCCAGGGTCCCCACTGCCCGTGCCTGCTGGATGTCGAAGTGCTCGAGGCTGCTCGCTGCATCCCGAAGCCCCCGACTCGCCGTGTAGGAGCAGCGCCCGCTCCCCCATAACGGGGTGTCATCCTGGCCACGAGCACGTCGGCCTCTGCCTTTCGGTTCGGTAGCAGAGGGAGCCTCGCCGCGGGCGCGGGACAGTCTCAGCTCCCGGCGGGACCGTGTCTGGGGCTTTTGGTGGACGTATTCTCTCCTCGGGCACATCGTTCAGAGATTCTCAAGCGTCAGGGATAAAGATCCCACAAGAGAGGAAGAGCCGCCGACACAGGACCAGGTCCCGGAACGGCAGTGGGACTCTAAAGGACAGAAGACAGGGCCAACGCCTTAAAGATACGGATCCTAGAAATCTGCATCCGGCTCGGGTGGGCCAGCCTCGGGGTCTCCCGTTCAGCCGCCGCTCTCCCGGGTCTCCCGAGGCAGCCGTTCACCTGGTTCGCAGATTCGAAAGTATCCAGCTTTCATCTCCTTTCCTCTTAGGCCTTGTAGATTTATGTGTTTTACAAGCTCTCCTGCTATTTTAGTGTGGTTTGGGGAAGGAGCCACTTACGTGGACTTGCTTTAGCTATAATGAAAAATTACTTAAAAGCCTTTCTTGGTGACACTGATATTTAGGTGTATCTAAGTATTTTCAGGTGGCCAGGTCGCCGGCGCAGGTAGACCCTCACCACCTTCGAAATTATTATTTCAAGGACGAAATAGGATCTTTAATCCTCAGAATAAGCCTCCAGGATTTCTTCAGACCAGACTCAGCTGAAGATTGCTCAGTCACCACCACGGGACCCTTTGCCAGCACTGGATATTATTTACTCTTTAGAGAAAGAAATTACGGGCATAGCCTGAGGTATATGTAAGTTTGAAATATTTAAATCTGAAGAGAAGGTAAATTGCAGTAGAGTAACCGTCTATGTATCTTCCACGTAGATTTAGTAGTTGTTAACTTTGCCAGTGTGCCCTGTCTCTCTCTCTCACATAACTGTGTGTGTTTGTAAGAAACAAAATACTACACGTGTGTATTATAATATAACTAATATAACCAAAGAAACAAAACTATACTACACGTGTGTATTATAATATAACTAATAACCGTAAGGCAGTATACATCTAAACATACGTGCTTATTTTGTACATAAATATAGTTACTTGTTGCTAAATCACACGAAGTAAGCCATAGACATGACGACATCTCTCCTCACGGGGCATACTTTAAAATCACCTCCAAACGCATCAACAAAACATACGTTTCTAACAGGATAATATGCAGAGTGGATTAAAAATCCATTGGCCCTGTCTCCGGAGCTAAGTTTTAAAGCTAGAGCTTTAATATCTCTGCGAAAACCAAACACACACGCAAAAAGTCATTTAATTTCTGATACATTGTTTAATCTGAATATGTAGAGCCATCTGACACGGCCACCAAATCATTACTGCCATTCGTCACGATGTATAATTTTGTTAAAATTTTCTAACTTAACAGAGGGCAGGTACAGTGGCCCGCTAGGTGTCTGAGACCCCAGCTCCACCACTGGCCTGAAAAGACACTCTGCTGAGAATGACAATAATATCCCTTTTAGCGATATAGTGTTATTAGTAATTTCCAAATATTTTATCTTTCTGTAATTTTAAATCTTTCTTTTACTTAGCCAAAATGTGGTGGTTTAGATCTATGCCAGATGTCCGTTAAGCGATTGACGAATGTCGAGACTCTAAGGGACACCTAACAAAGACCGGCAGATTCATACCTTTAAGGACAAAAGCCACAAAATTTAAATAAAATAAGAACTTTGAAATCAAGACTCTCTTGTTCCTACCGATTGAATTCGGGAAGCTGTTAATAGGGCACTCGTGCCTTAATAGATACCATATAAATAGATACCATATACTATATAAATGAAAATTCTCAACTTCATCTTGATTTAAAATTAAATAGATCAAAACTGAATTAGCATACAACGAGACTTTCTGGCTTATTGAGTTATGAAATTATTTAACCTCTTAAATAATAGAAAAAATCTGCAGTGTTATCTAGACCGCGGAAGGATTTTGAGTTTGTACTTACAGAAAGTTTATATGTATAGTATTTCGATGACTAATTTTCAGCGAATTAAAACATATATTCCATCGTATACTATGACATAAATAATGTGAAAATTATACTGCCCTCCATTAATCTTTCTTTCACGATCCAGAAAGTACCACACCTAAGACTCAGGGCACAGTAATCACAGGTTCACATAAGACGTACCCCCGAGTTAAAAAACGCTCGCTCGCAGCGCCACTTTGCGTGAATGTGTGACCGTCACGGCCGAGTGTAACCCTAGACGCGTTCATCTTGTAGGAGGAGGACCGCCGGCACGACTTTGCAGAAGTGGTGTCCCCAAACGTGTACAGCGGCAAGCTGTGGGAGGTCGCGGGCCACCGGCAGCACTACAGCGAGCGCACGTTTACCTTCGACGTGGACAAGGACACTTTCGCCCTTAAACCCATGAACTGCCCGGGGCACTGGTGAGTACTGCAAGTCGGGCGGGGTCTTAGCTGGGCCTGTCGCACAATGCGTCGCATGGCGTGTCGCCATGGGCTGGCAGGTGAGCTACGTGTCCCGCCTTTGGAGTTAAGCGATTCTGTTCATCTTAAGTGCTGGAGACTGGTCCACGTCACCAAATCATTTCGTCCTGAAGGATGAGTTTGCCGTTTAAACGTGTTTGACCTTCGGCAGGTTAGCTGGAAGCCATTTAACTCGTCACGCTTCTTAGAGATAATATGTGTAGACTTGATAAATTACTATGATATTTGTCTTCATCGTAACAATACACGTCCGATATAGATGTTTACAGAACATCTCGTTCTTACGTATCATTTCGGTCAATTATAGCAAGATCAGTGGGATGATCAGTGGGGCTACCAAGTTTCACCCATTTCAAGATAACTTTTTCTCCCACATTTCAACATCTTTGAAATAGGGATGCGTCTATAACGGGGGCATCTTAGTATTATGTCATAACTTATAGAATGGGTTATTTTCTTTCTTAGTGGTACCTAGATTAATGGTGCATCTTACAATCAGTGTTACCTTAGACGCTGTGAAGGAATGTAATTATCATGAAGCGGTATGCAAATTCAACCTGGTGAGAGACGCAGATTTTCCGATTGGAAGTGAACAGACACCGTTATCCACAAAACGTGTCCGAACTATTCTAGTTTCCTGTCATCGGCATACATGGTTTCAAGCAAATTGGCCTTGAACGAAACCGCTAAAACAAACCTCTCCGCACGAGAAAGCCCTTCGCCCTTCATGCCTCAGAGTAAGAGCCTAAGCGCTCGGGGTCTCATTGCCGATGGGACGAGGTGCCAGGAGCGCTTTCTGCGGAAGAAGGGGGGTCATAGTTCCAAGAGGAGGTAGTTGGCGAGTCACGTGCTCACCGTGCCGCTGCTGGGACCTTCCTCGGGGAGCCGAGTGCGGCGGGAACAGGTACGTAGAAAGTCAGTGGTATGAGAATTAGACAGTGTCAAACGGTGGCCTTTGCCTGCTGTTTCTGGAGCCTGCCTGGGGACGCGTCCAGGAGGCTTCGCTCAAGAAGCGGCCTTCGAAGCGGATCGTGAACGGTACGTGGAGATTCACCAGGTGGACGGGAACGGGGACTAGCATTTCTGGGAGAGACAGCTGGCGGGGTTCTTTCTCAGAGGTATAGGGATGCGAATTAAGCTTCCACAACTCGATGTTTGTTAAAGTGGCGATCTACGAACCAGAGTGGGCTGCTGACAAGTGTCGAGGCGTAACCGTGACATTCATGTTTAGATACCGACTCCGTCTCTTCTGTGCTAAGTAAGCGCTGTGTGTTACTCCGTCTTTTCCAGTCTGATGTTTGCCCACCGTCCGCGATCTTGGAGGGAAATGCCCGTCAGGTTTGCCGATTTTGGAGTTCTTCATAGAAATGAGCCGTCAGGAACCTTAAGGGGCTTGACCCGAGTTCGCCGCTTCCAGCAGGACGATGCCCACATCTTCTGCACGGTGGCGCAGGTACACGCTGCAGCGTCTCGCAGTCTTAGGGGGTCGCTGTGAAATGACGTGTTGGGTCCGGTTTCCACGGTCTCGTTCGGGTCTCACACTGCGATTCTCCGGTCTGGGGCCTAGATCGGTAATCTCTTGAGATGAAATTTGTTATTCTTTTTTCCTGTAAGCTTTCTCCGGTTTCATTAACTTAAATAATTAAGTCCGATATTTGAAGAGATTTGGTGGAACTTTGGATGCTTTTGATTTTCGGTATTGCCTGGAAGTTAGAGTTTACTTTTTGCGGGTTTTCCTGTTAATCGAAATTAAATTTGTCACGCGAAGGGCCGCTATCAAATGATGTGACCTAATCGGCGTTGCTAGAACACCCCAGCCTGTAACAGCAGAGTACGCGTTGTTGAAAAGCGCACAGAAAACATTCACCGAGGTCGAGAACGTTCCGGGCCGTAAAGTAAGTCTCGATAAATCGAAAAGGGTTCAATTCATAGAAAATGTGTTTTCCGGCCACAGTGGAATGAGAGTAGAAATCGATAACAGAAAGCCATCTGGAAAATCTCCGGATCTTTGGAAAGTATGTGACACACGTCCAAACCGCCCACGTGTCAAGAAATCAAAAGGTAGTTTAGAAGACGTCATACACCGAAGGAAATGGAAAAGAAACATCAAAATTTGCGGGATGCCCTTAAAACGGCACGGAGAGGGACGTTCGCAGCACCAGGTTCCCACAGAGCAGACCAGCGTGGTTCCAGACCAGTCGCCGCGGCTTCCACCTGGCACACTGCAGACGGGAGGGAGCTGCCTGAGCCAGGTGAGAAGACGCAGCGTCACATCGGGAACGATGAACCGAAAACCAGCACAAAACGGGAAACCGCGGGGGCTGCCACTCGCCACCCGTCGGCGTGGTCAGACGGCGACGGGCATTTGGAGGACGTGGCGGCACTTGGGATCGCGTCCGCCGGTCGTGGGACCGTCGGAGCGTACGCGCGCCGTGAAAAACAGTCCGGCAGTTTCTTTAGAAGTCAGAGTCCATCCCTACTGGGTGACCGGTGGCCTCACTCTTTTGTTTTCCAAGAGAAAAAGAAAGCGCGTGTCCATTCGAAGACTCGTACCCAAGCAGCCTGATTTGAAATGGCCAAGATGTGCAGACGGCCCGAATGGCCGATAACAGACGACGGTAAAGAAACCGCCGAGTCCGCACAGTGGAGAACTCGGCCGCGACAACGCCTGATCCGGGGGTGCGTGCGACACGGGGGTCTCGGTAATCACGCTCAGTGCGGTCGTCCAGGCTGCATTGAAACGCGCCCCCCTTGCCCCTCGGGGCGGCGCCGTCCCGGCCCCCGGCCCGCGCTGCTCACGCTGCGTCCTCTCCGGCCTCAGTGCCGTCTGGCCTCAGCCCGTCTCCCCCACGTCTCCGCTCTCCCTCCGGGCCCAGCCCTCGCTGGACAGGGCCTGGTGGACGAGGCTGCTTGGGCGTCTCAGGCACCTTCGCAGTGGCCCTGTCCAAAATCGGCCCCCTCTTCTGCTTCCCACACCACCTGCCCCCCCGCCCCCCGCGGGATGCACGAGCACCCTGTCCAGCCCCAGGCCAGGACCCCGGCGCCCTTTGCTCTTCACGTCGTGCGTCCAGTTTGTCACGAGCCCTGCCGATGGCGTCCCCCAAATATATGATTAAGTCCTGAATAATTTCATCCACTCCCTACTTCCCAGCATCCAGCGCGGTGCTTAGCAGGTAATTACCATCCGTTAATGGACGAAAGGATAGATACCCTGCAAACCTGTCAACTTCTCTGCATTCCAGAGGCTTCTCTCTGGTTCAGGCTGGCCTCATCTGGCTCCTGAGATCCCACCTGCTTCCTAACGGGTCTCTCTTCCAATCTTGTGCATCTGCTTCCCACACTTCAGGACGAGCTGGGTGGCGTCCATCTGCTAAAAGCCCTGCGCTGGTTTTCATTGCTCTCAGGCTGACAGGTGCAGACTTGCCCCCGGCTGTGAAGGCGCCTCATTTTCTCTGGCTCCTGCCTGCCTCCAGCCCGGTCACGTCCCTCCGTCCCCTCTGTGAGCTCGGTCAGCTCCCTGGGTGCCCCCGTTCCCCGGGCCTTCACCTGCAGCATTTGCTCTGCTCCGAGGCCGCCTGCCCTTCCTCCCCACAGAGGACTCTGCCCCGTTCCCTGTCGCCGTCCGCTGTCACTTCCTCTGGGCAGCGCCTTTCCCTGTCCCGTGCACATCCTTCGGGGTGCGGCACCCTCACCTGTGTCCCTGTCCACCCCTGGCCCGGGCCGGGGGCCTGCGGCAGCCTGTGCACACCTGGCTGGTGGTGGCATTCTGTGAACACCCAAGGAAAGAACGGATAAACGACCAGACGGCGCAGTGGGCTGTGCTCTGCAGTAAAAACGTGCTTTATCTGTATCTGACGCGAGGAATTTATTTTCATTTTTAAAAAATGCCATAAATACATCCGATCGGTATTCTAAAACATTTCCTTCGCTCTAATTTCAGATCGAAGAAGAAATAAAGGGCTGCTTGCAGGTTCTGCAATCTGTTTACGCCACATTTGGCTTCTCCTTTCAATTAAATTTGTCAACGAGGCCTGAAAACTTCTTAGGGGACGTCGAGACGTGGGACGAAGCTGAAAAGGTAGGTGGGGACGAAATGCTTCCTGCTGGTTTCTGTGAACACGGAAAACGCCTGAGCGACTAGTTGGCGTGCGCGAAGGGGCCGCGCCCCGCAGCGTGAAGCCGAAGTCCCGGGGCCCATGGTGGGCGGCAGAATGTCGTCATCGAGTTCTCTTCGTAGCGTAGGGACGCCGCTTGTTTCGCACTGGAACGTTTACCTACCCGGTTTTCCATCCTGCTCATCAGAGCCAGTCGCTAGTAGCCAACGTCGTAAGATTTTCAGGACGTCCCCTGGCTCCTTCGTCAGCAGCTCCGCTGTGTCCCCTCCCCGGGAACCGCTGTGAATCTGTCGCCCCTTGGGGCAGCACGACCCCCACTGCAGATGTCTCCTGTGCCCCCGGACTTTGCATGAGTGTTAGGGTCCCCGACAATGTTACAGCCCCGCCCGCGCCCTCACAGGTCCAAGCCGACGAACGTGCCTGGCCCAGCACGATCGGCCGAGAGCCCCAGCGCTGCGGGCGAGGGCGGGGGACAGCGGCGAGAAGGACGGCTCGAGTTCTCTGTCACGGGTGCCAGGCACTGCCACGGTCAAGGCCCGTGACGGGCGTCGGTCCTGGATCCATCTCCACGTGCGCGGGCCGCGCGTGAACCCTGAGCTTTCTCAGCCTCGGCCGCGCCCGCCGGCCGCCCCGACCCCGTGTCCCCGGGCCCACGGAGGAGCGTCCCCTCTGCTGTCCACTCCTGCCCCAGTCCGGCCTTCGTTTGGCTTCGTCTTCCCTGGGAGCCCCCAGAGTGCTTTCCGTCTCTTAAGTCGTTTCCCCCGCGAACACACACCAGTGTCTGTCCTTTCAAAAACAGAGTAGGGGGAGGAGGGTGGCCGCCCAGCCTGCGAACTTGCCCCTGGGGGTGGCCTCTGTGGTCCTAAGGAGAAGGGACCTGGTCTTGGAGCCCTCACCGGGAGACAAAAGCCGAGGTGTGCATAGGGCAGAGGGGACCTGCGGCCACAAGGACCGAAGCCTCCCTCCCTGAACATGGGCCGCGATTCCGCAGGATGATTTAGGAAATTACCACCCCCCTCCCCACTCGCCACCTCCCAATTAAAAAGTCTGTTTCTTGGGATCGGGTACCATCTCAATCATCTTTATGGAGTCCTTGTTCAGTAGTTTACTTAATATAAAAGATACTCACTCAATGTATATTGAACTAAAATAGAATGTCATTACGAGTTATAAGAACTTACTTTTTTGAGCTAATGACAAAAAACGTTTCATTCGGTAGAGGTTTTAAATGTTCTCTTTAAAAAAAATAGCAACTGCAGAACAGTCTGATGGAATTTGGAAAACCATGGAAGATGAACCTGGGAGAAGGAGCCTTTTATGGTCCTAAAGTAAGTAGGCCATGTGCTTCTGAGTGAAATTCAAGAGAAAGGGAAAAACCGTGTCTAAGCAAATGTCATTTAATTTACAGATCGATGTGAAGGTGAAGGATGCAGTTGGTAGATACCATCAGTGTGCCACGATCCAGCTGGACTTCCAGCTGCCTCTCAGATTTAATCTCACCTATGCCAGGTGAGTGGTTCTATGATCAATAATTTCGCGCTGCCATCCTAAGGATTCATGTTAGTATTAGTATTAGTATAAGTGCGGTCCATGTTGAATTTCAAGGTTGCTTTATATATTCTAGATCTAAGGCCTTCGATGGATACGTGATTTGCAAATATTTTCTCCTCTGTTTTTTTTTTTTTTTGCTGTTCTTATAGTATCTTCACTTTGTCTTCAATCTTCAGTTTTTAACATCAACGATGTCTAATTTATACATTTTTTTCTTTTCTCGTCACGCTTTTGGCATCACGTTTACAAACTTTGCCTGAGCACAGGTGAAGATTTCTCCTGTGCTTTATGTTAAAACTTTTCTACTATTAAGTTTTACATTTAGATCGAAGGTCTATTTTGTGTTAATTTTTATGTAAGATGTGAAGTTTAGGCCAGAGTCCATCGTTTGCATCTAGGTGTCTGATTATTCTGACATTTGTTATAAAGAGCATTCTTTCTCCATCGACTTGCCTTTCTACACTGATCAAAAATCAATTGGACCTGTTCGTATGGGTGCATTTCTAGATTTCCAGTTCTGTTTCCCTGATCCATCGATTATCCCTCTGTCGGTACCATACCACTGTGATTACTGTATCTTCATAGTAAGTCTTAAAATTAGACGATGTGAGTTCTTTGTGCTTTTTCAGAATTATTCTGGCCAGTCTGATTCTTTTGCTTTTAATAGATCTACCAAAAAATCCTGACAGGAATTACTGTTGGCATTGCATTGAATCTAGAGATCGGTTGGGTCAATTTGACTTCGTAATTAAATTGAGTCTTCCAATCCATGAACTTTGATTTCTTCCATCGGTTTTTACAGATTCCAGCATACGAGTCTTATCCATACAAGTCTTGTTCATTTATACCTAAGTGTTTCATCTGGGGGAAGCAACTGTACATGGTACTGTGTTCTTAATTTCGGCATCCATATGCTCATAGCTAGGATTGAGAAATACAGCTGATTCTTGTATATGGAAGTTGTGTCCTGAGACTCTGCTGAACTCACTTATTAATTAGTTCAATAAGGTTTTTTATCTTTTTGGTAGAATTTCGGGGATTTTGATGTAGACAATCGTGCCATCTGCAAACAGGGGAGGTTTAACCCCGTTTTTTCTTGTCCGTACGCCTTTTCTTGCCCCCTCCTGCCTGATGGCACCGGCCAGAACGCCCAGCGCTGTGCCGCATGGCGGGATGAGAGCGGACTTGCTCACCTCGTTCCAGTCTTCGGAGGAAAGCATGCGTTGTCCGCCTTTAAGTACGATTTAGCCGTAGGTCTTCGTAGACGCTGCTCATCGTGTTGAGGAAGTTCCTTTCCAATCCTGGCCTTCTGCTGTTCTGTTCAGTTTTCAATGAGTGTTGAATTTTGTCAAGTTCTTGTGCTGCACCGATGACACGATTATGTGATTTTTCTGCTTTAGCTGTTTGTATAGCGATTACATTGATTTAGGCGATCGAACCAGCCTTGCCTTGCTGGACTGAATCCCACGGGGCCGTGGTGCATCAGTTTTTGTATGTACTGGGTTCAAGCTCCTAATGGTCCATCGAGAGCTTTTGCGTGGATGTTCGTGCAGGCTGTCACTGGCCTGTAGTTTTCCCGTCTTGTCCTGTCTTCGACTGTCATAGTGTGTGGGTGACGCCGGCCTCACGCCATGAGCTGGGACGTGGGCCCGCCTCTTCCGTTTTCTGGAGGGGCTGGTGTTGGCGATGGGGAAGGAGTATTATTATGTACCCCTATCATGTGGAATTTTTCTGTGACAAATATTTGCCTCTTCTTCCTTTGTTTATTTATCCAATCATTTATTCGTATCAGCATAGACTTGCAAATGTTTCTTTTATACTCTGGGCTATAACAAAATATCACATTGTAAAGTTTTCCTTGCCCAAATCATGCCAGCCTTCGCCACTGGTAGATCTTCTGTGTTGGCTCCTATGTCCCTTTGACATGCCCCATCCTTTTCTCTTTCTTTACATAAAAAAAAAAAAAAAAAGGCACTTTTTGCTCACTGGCGCTACTAGATGCTGCAGGATCATTTGTATTTTTCCCTGAGCCACCTTTTAAATCAGCCATTTTTCCAATGAGAAATGAAATTTTCAGAACTGAAAAATATAATCAATACACTATTGGAGAATGATACATAAAAATCAAGTCTGGGTCCTGGTGAGTCTTACTTTGCTTTTTCCTAGATAACTTATTATATTTCCTTTTGGCTTATAAAAAATATTATTATTAGAAAAAAACCTTTATTGCTGATAAAGGTCACATTTTGTCCTTAAAGATTTATGAGGAATCCATTGTTTTACATAGTTCGGGAAAATAATTTTTCAATATAAGGTCAGAAGATGAACTTGTTACTGAATCTTAAGAAAACACTTAAACGCGTAATTTCCATTTTCTCAGTAAGGACGGGGACGATAAGAAGAACCCCGTGATCATTCATCGAGCCATTCTGGGGTCAGTGGAAAGAATGATCGCCATCCTCTCAGAAAACTACGGAGGGAAATGGTGAGTGATGTGGAAGAGAAATGCTCTATATCTATTCTTCTTAAAAATCGTAAGTAAAACATAAAATCGATAAGAAAAACTCGGTAGCTCCCGCAGGTGTGCAGACGGCAAATAAAAATCCTTGTGGCACCTGCCTCATCGGAAAACGGCAAAGCGGATGAAGGGAATGCGGGAGATGACGGTTGCCGTGTCACCTGCGTGTGGCCCTCCAGAGACCCGGGTGCTCCCTCGCCCGGGGGGCCACCCCTCGCCATGCGCCACCCCTCCCCCACCTTGTGAGGGACCTGCCCGCGACCGTGAACTTAGAGGTGGACTAGGTACACGCTGGAAGCCTGGTCCTCCAGCGCCTGGAACAGAGCTGGCACCGTCCCCACGAGGACGGCCCCGGGCCACTGCCCATGTCGCTGTGGTCGCGTGGTCTGTCCTCTAATCCTCTTTGCCTCGAGGAAAAACGGCCTGGGGCCCGGGCTCCGGTTACGGCTTCGGCCACTAGGTCGGAAAGCAGATGACGAGCAGATGGGGCGAGGAATAATGTGCATTGCTTGGAGGGGGCCGTGAGGGCGACATGGCCACCCGAAGGTCCCCGCTGGGAGCAGCTTTCCACGTTCGAACTCGAGAGGCCCGTTCCGCCCGCGTCCTCAGCTTCTCTGTCCCCCCCGCGATCGCTCGGTGATCGATGAGCAAAGCGGCCCCGAGAGGACAAGCACGAGGCCACCACTGGGGACCTCACCGCGTTCCCTCTGCCAGGCCTCTGCTGAAGACGCCACGCGCCGTCGGCGATGATCGGTCCTGACCCCTCACGTGACGCCACAGCCAGCCTCCTGGGGCAGGTCGATGACATTGATCCCTGCAACAGGCCGGGGCCGGCGACGTGCGCACCAGGACGGAGACCGGCTCCGATGCGCTCCGCACCCTCCTGCCGGCCACACCGTCTGGACGCTCGCAGAGCCCTTGTCCCCGTGAGAAGCACACGGTCCTTCTGAGCACGGAAGTCATTTCTGAGCCAGAGAAGTAAGGCACTGGGCTGACTCTGCGGGGATGTCACCAGCCAGGGGACGTTCAGCCTTCCGTCTACCTGCCAACCTGTCCTTCCCCGTCTTTGTCCTACCAGAATTGCCAGTTTTTCCTTTCGTTTCTGCCTCTTAACTCTTAACGAACTTTGTTTAACTGCTGACGCTGCTCTCTTGTGACGTCTTAAAAAAAAAAAAAAAACCTTTGGTTATTTTGTAATCGCGTCATAAATGGTCATTTTGAAATGCGTATCGTTTATATTTTGCAGGCCTTTCTGGCTATCTCCGCGTCAGGTAATGGTCATCCCCGTGGGGCCAACCTGCGAAAAATACGCACTTCAGGTAAAACCATCGCACAGAAAGTGCCTAATAGTCCCGACGTGCGGTCTGTGACGGTCACCGACTCAGAATGTCATTCACGCCTTAAAATAGAAAAGTGACACGTTCTTTCAGCGACCCCTGTCCTCAGTCTTGGGAGCGGCACCTGACTCGTGCCTGCGCGGCTCTATCCGAACTATTTTATTCGTGTTTTCGAGAAACTGGTATTATAAAACATGTCATTTAAGTCGTTATTTTCCGTGTGGCTCTATGAGGGCGGAATACTTACATTATCTATTGCTGTGTTGCAAATTACCCCAAAACTTAGCAGCTCAACACAACAAACATTTATTATCGCATAGTGTCTGTGAATGCGAATCTGGGAGCGGCTTGGCGGGTGGTTCTGGTCCAGCAGTCATTTCGCAGAGGTGGCCTGAATGTCCCCCCAGCATGGCAGCTGGTTACCCCCAGAGGGACCGATCTGAAAGAGATGGAAGCTGAAGGATTTTACCTCCTCTCGGGAGTGACACGCGTCGCTCCGTCCCGTCCCCGTGGGCACGCACACCCAGCTAGTTCAATGTGCAGGGGACGACACAAGGGCGTGGCTGCCTGGAGGCAGGGACCCTGGGTGTCCTCTCAGAGGCCGGCTCCCGTACATAATGCAGTAATAAAGTGTTTCATTTTCTTGTAGGTGTCCAGTGCATTTTTCGAAGAAGGATTTACGGCCGACGTTGATTTAGATCATAGCTGTACGCTGAATAAGAAAATACGGAACGCACAGCTGGCTCAGTACAATTTTATTTTGGGTAACTTAAGTTTCTATCTATTTCCCCAAATGCTTGTTTTTTCCCCCACTTCAATTCCGATGGTTATAGCACACCAGTTTGACCGAAGAAGGGTCCCTGGTTTCGACAGGAGGCTGTTTTGTGAACTCTTCGATACTTGCTGGAAGGACAGTTGTAACGTTTCACGTGAATCCTGTGGCGTAGCAGTACTAGCCGGAATTAACACCTCCAACCAACAATGGCAAAAGTGTGAAATAATCTCATCGGTAAAAGTTTATGTTTCAGCCATGAGACAGGCCTAAAATATTCTCTTTTGCTTTTATGGCTTATTAGAAATGTTTGAGATTAAACTAATAGTGGAAAAGGTTCCAGATTTAAGACAATCCAAGAAAAGAATTAAGTGGGAAAAAAAAAGTCCTTGAGGCACATGAATAATTGGATACATAATCTAAACTTTTGACTTTAAAAACGATTCAAAACCAAGAGAAACTGGTATCGATATGCTTACTCGCATGACACTGTTATCTCCGGTAAGTCGAAAGGTTCTGTGGAACAATGGTCCCTAATCTTTTTGGCACCGGGGACCGGTTTTGCGGAAGATAGTTTTTCCACGGCCCAGGAGGTGGGGATAGTTTCAGGAAGAGTCAAGCACATTCCATTTATTGTGCGCTTTATTTCTATTATTATATCGTAATACGTAACGAAATAATTATACTACTCATCATAATGCAGAATCAGATGCCACCGGATGCAGCTTGATTGTCACTTGCCACTGATGTATTATGGTCCCTGTGTAGTCAATCCTCCCTGCTAACGTTAATCTGTATTTTCGGCCGCGCTCCAGAATCATCACCGCCTCAGACCACCGTGGACCATCAAGGTTTAGATTCTCATAAGGAGCCCGCAGCCCAGGTCCCTCGCATGCGCAGTTCACAGTAAGGTTCGTGCTCCTTTGAGAATCTGATGCCTGACGATCTGAAGCGGAGCTGAGGCGGTGATGCGGGGCGGCTGTACATACAGACGAAGCTTCGCTCACTGGCCCGCCCCGCACCTCCTGTGCGGCCCGGTTCCTAACAGGCCACAGACCAGTACCGGAGGTTGGGGACCCCTGCCGTACAAGGCAAAATAAATCAACATAGAGATGTCCTACCAACAATTTGTCAGCAGAAGTGTTTGACTCTAGTAGGTATGGGTTTGTTTCAATCAGCCTTCCCGTGGTGACGGAAACTTCATATTGGACAGAGACAGAGTTTATGGAAGGGTATCGGAGTGTCCACTGACCTGGAGAGTAGAATTAAATGGCCAGACCCTTAGAATAGTAACTGCGACGAGGAACCCAGCCCTTACCAGAACTGTTTCTTTCCATTCTGGTCCCTGTTTTGTTCCGATTCTTTATGCTTCTCTTGAATATTTACTTTAGTCCTCTTACTTGCTGACTGATTTCTTCCTTCCAAATGGCAAGAAACATGGCTGCAGATTCCCGCATCGCCTCACAGCACAGATCATTAGAAAAAATGAATTTTTTACCTACGTCCCTGTTGGCTGGTCAGGCACAGGTCTGGTGTCCAGCCCTTGATGCATCAGAGGGTAGAGCCGGGGCGAGAGCTCCCTGGTCCTATTTATACCCCCAGATCATAGTAGGTGTTCTCTCAAGTGAACAAGAGATGGGATTAGATGTCATTCCTTCCTTCAAGAAACTGTCAGAGGATGACCTACTGGTTATTAGATTGATATTTAGTGATTAATACTGAAGAAAAATCGGAGTGGCTCCATAGTGTAGTGGTTAGCACGTCTGCTTTACATGCAGAAGGTCCCGGGTTTGCGCCCCAGGTAGAGCCACAGACTGTACCCTGCGTGCGCCAGGCCCCGGGGGTGCCAGGCCCCAGGAGCGTGCCCCGAGCGTGTGGGAGGAGACGCCCCACCTTCAGAGAGCCAGTTCTTAAGGGTAAACAGCAACATCCATAGGTCAGGAGTGAAAGTTGGGGAGGCGGGACCCTAAAGAGGGGAGAAGAAAATTAAAAAAAAAATACCGAATAAATAACCAATAAGACACAAGTGTCATGTGACTGTTTGCTTAATGTTTAGTAAATTGTCGATTTAAAATTTCCCTTTTCTACAGTGGTTGGAGAAAAGGAGAAATCAAATAATGCCGTAAATGTTCGAACGAGAGACAACAGAATTCATGGAGAGATTTCAGTAACTTCCGCCATCGACAAATTGAAGAATCTCAAACTGTCGCGGACCCTGAATGCTGAGGAGGAGTTCTGACATCCTTCCTTGTGGTCCCGTCTGCGTAACCTTGTTTTGACCCTTGAGAATGTATTTTTCTTAATTAATGTTAGTACTTCTTCTGAGAACTTCGGACCCACTGACAGGGCCCCCGATGGGCACAGCGAGAAAAGACAATGAATGAGTAGCTGACACATGCAATGTTACTTCACTTATGTGCCTGGGGACAAGAACAGGGCAGCTTGGGAAATTTTACATTTTAAATTTCCCAAATGTCTCGAGAGACTTAAATGGGAAAATGTTATTCATTGAAAGAAATACTAGGAAATGAGGATTACGAGATTTTATTGCTAAGATTTGTGATTTTCGAAAGATGGGCTTCGAATAAAAGTGCAAACTTTTTTAGAATAGGGCAGAAAATCTTATTTTCTAATAACGTTATGTTCTCAGTTTTTATGGTTGTCCCACTAAAGTTCACACCCAAACTTTCATCTCCAAGATTGGATAATTAATTGGTTTGTTTGTTTATTTATTTTCCTTAATTAGTTTTAGCTAACCAACTACCATGAGAGAAGCAGCTAATACTAAATACTGGGTTATCGACAAAGGACTCTGAACTCCAATTCAGTGTTGTAAAAACTACTGTCGTTTGCACTGTAGGTTAAGAGTCGCCATTTTAATGCTTCTGATTGACGACCGATCCTTGTTCATGTTTAGAAAACATAAATTTCCAAATAAAAGACATCACAGCATTCCCGGTGTCTCAGCTCAGGGTTACATCACAATGATCTCCCCTAGAGTCAACTTACTTTTTTGATGGGATGACATTCCACTGATTAACATACTCGAATGCATTTTTGATTTTAACTAAAGGGAATGCTTTACCGCTCAGAACAAAATTAAAATGGCTTTATGCCAATAGAGAATTTAACTACCAAGCCAGAAGTATTTTTTGTGTTTATTTGACTAGGGGCTGTGGAATTCAAAACAAATTTAGGACATGCTGTCTCTCAACACAATCAGTTTCCTGAACAGGTGGCAAAAAAAACAAAACAAAACAGTATCATATCAGACCCCTATAGTGCTATAAGGTGCAAAGTGTGTGATATGATTTTTAAGCCTATATTTATCGAGGCCAGGCACTACGTGACATTTTTTTGTTGTTGTTCACCAAACATGCTAGTAAGACCCTCCTGCCTTCCCCGCCCACGATGTTGTGACAGGTGGGTGGGAACAGCGAAGCATGTCAACGCCTAGGACAAAGGAGCCTGCGGCCCGGGTCACCTTCCTTCCCGCGCTGGCCTCCGGGGAGGGACCCTTGCTTGGGGCCCCAAAGGCCTGGTAGGTCCGGCCTCTCCCGGTCTTCGAGGAGCTTCCCCGAGGCCACGCGTGCCCTTAAGGAGTCAGCCGCGGTGGGAGCGCTGGGCCCCAGGCGGCCGCGCGGAGATGCGGGCCGGGCACCGACGGGCCAGGTTCCCGGCGCGGGGCCACCTGGCACACCTGGGCGTCGCTTCCCGCGCAGCTCGGGCCGGTTTCATTCTGTGAACCTTTTCAGTGCGAAATGCAATGTCATCGAAACCTTTGCACAGGACCTAGTACATAGTAGGGGTTTTCCTCCCTAAACACCAGGCAGCCGCACACCCCGTTCCCGTTTGACCCGAGAATCCGCGCCAGCTTCTCCGCGGAGAGAACTGGGGATCACGGTCCGAAGCTCACTCCTGAAGATGGCTGCAAAACCCTACTGCTTCGGCACCCCTCTAGAGTCCCATAGCCTTCGGAGATAGGTCATGCCATCCCGTTCACGGCATTCGGTTCTTAGCAGCGGTTTATTTCCATTTACAAAACATAACTATCCTTAATCACGGAAGATGTCCAATCCCGGAAAACAGCATTCCCGCGTGTGACCTCGAATGAACTTGGCAGCGAGCTGCACTTCTGAACGGGGGAAAGGGGTAGAACCGGTGGCCGACTTCCCAAGTTTGCCGGTCTCCGCTTTCAGTCACTTCGGGGGAGCATCTCAGTCCCCGGGGCCTTCCCGGGTCTCCAGCCGCGTGAGGAGGGGCGGCCGCCGGTCTGGGCAAGGGCCGGTTTGGGAACCAGCAGCCCCAGC